AAAACATTCTTTTCAATTAACTGATATGTATAGAACATTAGATCTGGCCAGATACTGTTATCTGTGTCTCAGTTCAAACTTCTCACATTTGTGAAATCTTGTCTCCTTGTCCTATCACACAAAATAATAGCATCCTTAATGTAGAAGACTTCCCACCCCCAAGGACCCCATCATAGCTGGCAGCAAGAGCTAAGCTCAGAGGCCTCTTATTTAGGTTTCAGTCTTCACTTTGGTATTGGTTTCTAAAAAAAACCCTCTACTCCCTCTTTGGTTTCTGCTATTATTTAATGCTTCACATAGCAAAATAACCTGTACACCATGGCCTACTTGTCAGAAATGTTTCTATTGAGTTAAAAAAAAAAAAAAAAAAGATTTGGGAATCTGGGCATACCTATAATTCCAGTAGAGAATCAAGAGTTAAGGTCATACAGTGAGTTGGAGATCATCCTGGGCTATGAAAGGCACTGTTTCAAACAACAGTAACAACCAATCAAAAGTTGGGCAGTAGGGGATGTCGCTCAGTGGTACTCACTACCCTAGAATGTACAAAGTCCTGGGTTCAATTTTCATCTAAACATTTGACTACTTGAATAAAAAATAGCCTTAAAGACTTAATTTTAGCACATGCATCTTTTTTTTCCCCTCAATTTGTCTGTATCTAAAATATTTGAAAATGATATTTGTAAAGAGAAGCAGAGTTGCGGGTGTAGCCTAGAGGAAGAATATTTGCCTAGCATGTGTAAGACACTGGGTGTGGGCAGCACCACTGTAAAAAAAAAAAAAAAAAAAAAAAAAAAAAAGAGGGGAAGAGGAGCGAAGTGGATCCCCTAAGGAGCAGCTTGCTTGTGGTTCCTGTGAGAAGTGATGAAAAATACTATAGGCCTGGGTTATAAGGGAACCCTGGTAATACTTAAGTATTTACAGTTGTTTCACTATTAATATCATCAGGCTAGATCCAAGATGGGGATACAACACAGCACTTGACAACAGGTTTAAGGGATCCATCCAAGTCTGAGTCAGTAAGATGGCAAAACTTTTAACTATCTGTAGCCAAACTCCACTCTAAGACAGTACTACCGTGATAAAGGCTTTCTTAGGGATTTATTCTGCAGCTTGTGAATGCAGAAATCATTTATAAATTTCAAAAAGGAATGACTAAGTGGGAGGCACAAAAGCCTCCTAAGTGTATGTGTTATTTAAATAGAACACACTAAATGGTATGCTTCAGACTTCACTATTCAATATGGTAAACTCAAACGGGCTAATCAAATTAACATCATTCCTTACATGGATTAGCCACACCCTGGCACTCAGTAGTCAGTCGCTGTAAACTGTACGGGAAGAGGAGAACAGCGAACGCGCTGGCAGGTGGTCAGTGTTAGACAGTGCCAGTCTAGAAGAAGCTTTCCATCACTGCAGAGCTCTAGCACACAGCACCACTCTGGCCCAGTTGTATAATTTTACTGTTGCAGTGGCAAAGACTCCACATAACTGACCAGCTTTGTAACTCCCGAGCAAGTTTCTAAACACCAGAGTATCTTGTCTGTCCATCTTTTAACATGGAAAGCAGAGAGGTGGAGGCAAGACCATCACCACTGTTGAGTAACCACAGAATCTGCAACCCCTCAGTTCCTCACTGAAGTTCAATTAAAGCCTTGGGTAGCTACCAAAAGGCGCTTGGACAGAATGAAAATACAGTATTTCTCAAAGATTCACAAGGATCACCAAATCCAACGAAAGTATTTTCTCTAAGGTTTTAAATGTTATGCCCAGATCACAGAGTCCCCCAAAGACCACCAAGGAGACCAAGTCCTGTATGTAAAAGCAAAGAGCCTTTATTTAAGCTTACGCTTGAATTCTCTGTCTGTCCGGTACCTTTTTCTGGGGAGGAGTAGGTGAACGAGTATAAAGAAAAGCTAAAAAGTAAATAAACTAACAGTTTAGAATTGGACAAAGTTACAATTCAATGTTTGCTCCCTGCCCTCATTTACTCTAAAACTGAATCCTGAATCCAAGTGAGAAAAAGCTGGATATGAAAGTATAATTTGAGTTAAATGGGTCAGGTAGCTTGGTGGCATCTCCCATGGGAGAATGGCAAAAAAACAGCTACAGGATCAGGTATAATTACCCATATGCAGAACCATACCCTAGCGTTTATTTAATGGACAAATCCCCAAACAACTCAACTGCTTCTTGACTGACAGTTACGTTCTATGTTTGCAGCTCATTACACAAGAGTCTTAAGACCCACATTACCCTATGCCAGTACTTCTCAACCTGTGGGTCTCCACCCCTTTGGGGGTCAAATGACTCATTCACAGGGGCTGCCCAAAGCCATTGGAAAATCAAATATTTACATTACAACTCATAACATTGGCAAAATTACAGTTATGAAGTAGCAACAAAAATAATTCTATGGTTGGGGGGGTCACCATAACACAAGGACTCTTAAGACTGCAGCATTAGGAAGGCTGAGAACCACTGCCCTATGCTGTCCTGTCACCTCTAATGCAGCTCTTCCTTTATCCCCAATGGATAACCAGGATAAGTGAGTTCTCTGCTCAAGAAAAGAAATGTTTGTTTTTGTACTTTTTAAAAGCTTTAAAAAACAAAGATGAATAAAACAAAACCACAAACAGAAAGCATTAGCTCACTTTTCTCCACAAGACTACTTCAATTAATGTTATGAATACTGCTGATGAGTAACATCTACTAATCTATGATACTGTAATGGATTAAACTGACAGAACACTGACAACTTCATGTTGATCCCACTTACAGTCTAGATAGCTGCTTGGTTTTTACATGGTAGAGGCAGACGATCGTTTGTTTGCTTATAAACCTGCCTTTATTTGTCCTGCACAAGGACTAGAGAATCACTTCCAATTAACCCAAATTCTGGTAGGTCAGTTAGGTTCTATACCTGTTTTTCTGTTTGTTTGTTTGGCTTTAAAGACAGGGTTTCACTATGTAGACTTGGCTGGCCTGTGTGGACCAGGCTGGCCTTGAACACACAGAGATCCACATACCTCTGCTTCCTGAGTGCTGGGATTAAGGGTGTGCTCCATCTCCAGCATGCCCAGTGTATGTCAGTCTCACAGGACTGTAACTGTGAAGGAGCCAGGCTTATGCTACAGATAACCAGGTGCATCAGTCTCTTGATGATTTTCCCCAATGACTATACAAAACCTAACTCAATACAAAATTGTCAAAACAGTAAAAAGCAGGATTTATCCAATTTAACACTAAAAAGTTTGTGTGTTTTTAAAAAAATTTTCCCACAATGGAAATTTAACATAAAATGACCATTTGTAACATTCCACTTTCTTACCAGTTCACATATATCCTGAACTTATAGGTATTAACTAACATGCCTTTTTTTTTGTTTGACTCTGAGATCTTACAACACAGGCTGCCCAGCCTCCAAAGTGCAGGGATAATGAGTATATACTACCATTCCTGGCTCGAAATGTATCTCTAATGTCTGTAGGACATATTAAAAACCTGAGAAATAGTTTACTGAAAAACCAAGATAGATGTGTTTTTTGCTTAGATACTTAAAAATAAGCAGAAAGAATTCACTATTTTGATATCCTATGTGATTCCTGTCTGTCTGTACAGACTTCCTGACCTCTAATAGTTAGCTAGTGGCAAGCTCCATCCTCTGATCTTCAGACAGACTTTATTTGTACAAGCAGGGTTATCACCACACTTATGGGTCAAAGACAAGCAAACTGGCTCTCTGTCCTCAATCACACTTCTCATTCCCATACTGAAATATCAGAATCCAATGTGTATGTGTTGTTGGAGATCTACCCCTAAGCCTATGAATGCTAAGGATTCATCCACCTCTGAGCAATATCCTTATCCTTTAAGTAAACTTTTTTTGTACAGATGGTTCCATACTCATAATAATCTGATTAAGATTTTTTGCTTACAAAATGTTGTGAAGTAGCATGAACTAAGTAAAACCATTTTTTGGACTGTACACTACTCTGGAGTAGGAATAATGGGAGACTCTACTGCAGTGCTGTAGAGTCACATCAACAACCAGCCACAGCTCCTACTCCCATGTGACCACAGGGGACAACCAATAGTCTACAGAATACTGTGTTGTTGACCTATGATATTTGGTAGCTTAAGTATATTAGTGAACTTTCAATTTATGATAGATTTGTCAGCCAGTAACTTCACTGTGAGGTTAGGAACATCTATACTTTTAAAAAGAGCTATTCTGAGCTTTGTTGACTGCATGTCAACCACTATCAGAACCTATAAAAATGCTTGAAAAGACCTTGGACTAGGAACTCTCCAACTAATTGTGTGCCATGCACCTTTGTATCCTACACAGGTACTCTCTAACATTAAAGCACAAAAGCTTTGACACAGTATTGATACCTACTAGACACTCTATTAAACTAAGAGGTTGAAAAGTGCCACCACCCACAGGAAAGTACATGGGTATCTGCTCTCATTCTGTGTCTCCCAGACTAAGTTCTATTGCTCAGGGATATAAACTAACAAGAATTCAGTACTACAACAAAAACAAAGGACTAAATATTTTATAACAGAAACAAATATAATGTTAACAATTGGGCTACATAGTACAGTTAACTAAAGTAACCTAAATTAGTTACTTGCAAAAATGTTATCAGTTTTAGAGCTAGCTTGAAATGCTGACTCTTTGGGGTGATGAGATGGCACAGTGAGTGAAGGACCAGCAGTCAAGCCTGACAACCTGAACTCCATGCCTGGGACCTACATGCTGGAAGGAGAGTCCTCAGAGTCCTCTGATCTCCACACATGGGCTGTGGTATATGTGCACTCATGAATACATACAGTCATATAACAGAGACATTCAAAAGAGTTTCATCTTTTACCAAGAAATACATTTATAATCATAAAGTAGAGTGTAGGCCATATTTTGTATACTTTGAAACTCTAAAATCCAATGTCCTGAAACTAAAGTCTCCCTGGTAAATGTAAACAGATATACTCACAGCTTGCATTTCTATACAGGAGGAATGGTTCATGGAGCTGAAATTCCAAATCTTTATTCACTGGTTCAACCAGATTGTGCATGTTCAGTCGGTTGACAATGGTAAAACCATGGTAAGGCGAAGCTGACCTTAGATTTAAAGACAGAACATGTGTTACCTTTTAATCTGTAGAAATTTTATCAACTACTTTATTTTCACTAAAAAAAAAAAAAATGCCTACATTGTCACATGACATGACACAATCAGCATCAACAAAAATAACAAGGCCATGGATATAACTCAGGGGCAGAATGTTTGCCTAGCATGAACAAAGTCCTGGGTTTAGGCATCAACTTTATTTATTTATTTATTTATTTATTGGGTTTTCGAGACAGAGTTTCTCTGTGTATGGTCTCGAACTCACAGAGATTCACCTGCCTCCGCCTCTCCAGTGCTGGGATTAAAGGCTTGCACCACCACTGCCTGGCTAGGCCTCAACTCTTAAAAAAAAAAAAAAAAAAAAAGTTAGACCATTTCCCTCCTTGCTCCTCAGTATTTATAAGGATTCAATTCCTCAGCAGAAAAGTTGAAGTCACCAAGGTTCCCACCCCACTTCGCCTGCTGTGTTTCTTTCCGGGACATGCTGGCTCCCGGCCACTATCAGCAGGTGTGCGTCCATCTTGAGACCTCTGTGACCTACTGCCCCCAATTAGCACCACCATCGCATCTCCAGCAAGCATCTGCTCACATCACCTTCTCACCTCAGTCTCCACCCACTCTGCTTTTCTATTTACAACCTTTCTCCCACTACTAGAAGGAAAGCTCCCTGTAATTGAGGACCTTTGCAAGAATAGTTTCCTAACCAAGGGGATTCAATACACAATGCACTCAACACTCTTCAACAGCACACACTCTTCAACCTAACTCAATACAAAAAGAACCAGACACCAATAATCTTGCTGCCAGCATTCTAAGTTCTAGAAAACAAGGAAAGGAATCTGCCTCTAAGAACAAGATTTATAGGCATCTAGGAAGACTGTTATATCCTGTGGACTGTCCTTTAGGCCCCTATGTTGCAAACATGGTAATGCTGTAAACCATTACAAATCAACAATTTAAAGAATTTTCAGAAGCTTAAAGTAAAATATATTCAATCATGAATAACCCAGGCATTCTAAGCAACTCTTAAAATAAAACATATATAATAAAGACAATAAAACTCAGAACATTGGGAAAGAAACGGGCAGAACCAGTCATAGAAGACAAACTCTTATTAGAAACCACAGGTCAGCAAGACTGATGTCTCAACTGCTATAGTTAAAGTACTGTACCCACAGACATTCATACGTTCATATTCTTAACACAGGATAGTTGGGCAGGCATCTCTTTGGGATGCACTATTAGAAAAGGCTTTCTACCCTGAGATAATTTTGTCAGATTTTGAGAAGAGAAACAGCCAGGGTAAGATTGCATTACATGAAGATGAAAACTGGAAGAAAACAAACAGGAAGGTTCCAAAGACAAATACACAATAGAAATGGACCATGTTACATGAGACTGATCACCATTCAAGTGAAATAGAAACATACTTTAAAAACTTACCTTCGATATACAAATAGGGTCCCTTCTATATCAGTCTTCTCCTGTAACAGATAGTAATTCTGTTAGTTTCCACAAATAATCCAATGTCAAATGGTTCCAGTGGAGAAGAAATACTTTAAGGCCAACTTTTTTTATTTATTGTGAAACCTGGTGTGTGTGTGTGTGTACGTGTGTGTGAGCACGTGCATGCAGGTGTTTGTGTAACTGTGTAGCGGTCAGCAGTCACCCTCAGGTGCTGTTCTTGTTCTTCTGAGTTAGAGTCTGTCCAGGCTTGCCAGTCAGTGAGCCCCAGGGAACCACCTGTCTCCACTTCCCCAGTGTTGGACTCTAAATACAAGCCACTACACCCAGCTTTTTATGTGGGCACCTCAAGTTCTTTACAAATTGTGTATTCATTCAACTCTATTAAGTGTATGCAACGTCCAATTCAACATTTTTCTATTTTAAATCTTAAGGACCATTAAAAAACAAAACAAAACAAAAAAACCAGAATTAGTTTTACTTTTTATTTTTATGCATTAACTTTTATAAAATAAAAAAAAAATGCATGTTTTGCCAGCATGCATGTCTGTGTACCATATGTGTGCTGGGAGCTCACAGAGGACAGAAGAGGGCATTGGATCCCTTGGAACTGGAGTTACAGATGGATATGAGCCTCCATGTGGGTGCTGAGAACTGAACCCAGGTCCTCAGAAGAGCAGTGAGTGCTCTTAAGCTCCTGATGAAGCATCTTTTCAGCCCCAGCTTTAAATTTGCCAAAGCTAAAACCTTTCAACAAGGTATCTTATTGTTGAGTTGAAGTATTTTTTTGTTGCAACTTAAAAACAAACAAACAAAAAAACCCACCAAACTTTAACAGTCTATCAAAGTTAATAGTAAAAGAAAGTTAACTGATATCAGGGCCTGGGACTGATGATGCAGCTGTACACCACTCTGCCAAATCCCTAACCATTGGGAAATTTTCTTATATACTTTGTTTCACCTCTAGAGAATTTAGAAATATTTTCATTAGTAACAAATTTTGTGGTTAGTTAAGGACTACTACCATGGATAGAAACCATTCTCTGATTTAGGCAATTCTGGTAGGTTTTTAAAATAAACACTTGAAACTTTGATTAAGAAATTGTAGCTTTGGCTGGATGGATACTGTGGTAGAGGTACAGTGTTCACATAGCATTATGAAGCCCTGGGTTTGATCTTCTGCACTGCAAGAAATGAAACAAGAAAATACAACCTAAGTCAGGCAGTGGTGGTGTGGTGGTGCATGCCTGTGATCCCAGCACACTGCAACAAGAGCATAGTCAGGTTTTAGGCACAGCCAGAGTAATTTTCTTATTTTCCTAAAACCAAATAATCCTGTCAGTCTGTAGTTCATGCCCTACATTGGATCTTGATATTTTAAATGATGTTATGTCAATTTGTTGTGATAAAAAATTAAAAAAAGAATCTGTTTCTTGTACATTTCCACATCATGATGAACCTTTTACTTCTTGAGGCCTTTAAAAATTTTTTCTCATCAGAAGAAAATGATAGCCAGTTGTCCCAGTGTAAAAGTAAACTTGCCTCCCAAAATACATTGGGCAAAATTACAAACTCACCACCAATAAAATACGAGAAAGATGATGGTGAATGCATCATGTATCAAAATCCAAATAAACAGCAGCTTAGGTTTCAATTTCATTTTTAAACATCTCCACGGTTAAAATCCTCAAGTGTTGCAAGCCTTTGTGGAAAACTACAAATAGGTAACTAATAAATGCTACATGCAAATTCTCACCATTTGTCTGCAGCATTTATGTTACAAATTTACATATAGATCAAACAGAGAAAAATGATACAAAATACATCAAACTAAGGCACTGTTTAAAACAGGTATACCAGTAAAACAGTTTATAATTTCATTCTCAGTGGCTTCTTACATCCCTTTCCCCTCCAGAAGAAGTAAAATGGTTATGGACACTTCTTCTGAAGTAACTTTCATAAATGGCAATACATTTTCACAAAATTACATCTATGTATCAATGTCACACTGAATAAAAGTTACAACAATCCCGCAGCATTTTGTTAGTTTAAGGACCTCATTACTTGTTGAAGGCTGAACACCAATCGTTGATGAATTCTATCCAACCAACAGTTACAGATTAAAAGCATGAAGCTTTTACAGTTGGATGAATTAATTAGGAAGAATCAGCACAAGAAAATGGGAAATCCTGTAAACAACTAAAAGGTGCTTTAGGTTGAAGCCAACCAGTCAGTGAATAAGCACTGTAACTTTTTGGAGCTCCATCGCCACTCAAAATCCAAAAAGTCCTCAGAGGTGAGCCATCAAAAATTAGATATCACTGGTCTCTTTTCCCTGCAAAAGTCTCCAAGGAGCCCTATTCTTACTGTAGCCTTTTCCTTAGGTGCCTTGAAATCTTTCCTCAAACTCTGGGGTAATTCGATTACAGCTGGACTAACTCCTGAAACTGATTTTTAAGCTTCAAATCCAAATCACCTCATTTAGGTCGGCTGAGGGTAAGGGGTGAACTTTGTGATTAGGCACACGCAATTTACCTAATAGTTCTCAAAGTCTCAAACACAGGATTTCAGCCACTTAAAAAAAAAAAAATCTAACTTGTCTCATATCCTTCCAATGCAACCTGTAAAAAAGGTAAATTACTCAAGTCCCCAGCACCGACCCCAAAGGACTGATCCTGCCCCGTTCCCCCCCTCCATTCGATCTTTCCTGCTATACTTCTTCCGCTTGTTTCCTCAAATCCCGCGTGCCCGGGTCACCGCTCTGGCTTCGGCCGGGCCTCGCCTTTGCGGTCCTGCCTCACTCCCCACCCCCAATCCTCAGCTGCCTGCGCGGCCCCTTTAAGAGGCGGCGGCGGCCAGGTTGGCACCCTCCGCGGCTTGGCCTCACTCACCCACTGGTTGGCTTTAGGGCAGAAAGTGTACAGGGCGACCTGGCCCGTGAGGTCTGCGATGCTGGTGATGTAGGGGTCGTGCTGCTTCAAGGCCGCCAGACTCATCTCTTGCCCAGCTCTACTCAACGACTCCATCTTGAATCCCGGAGCCGAGCCCCTCCGGCGGGGGCGGACTAGAGAACAGGAAAGCGCCACCCAGGCAAAGCTCCCCCAGCTCAGCCAGCCCTTCACTTCCGCCTATCTGCCCAGCCTTGCGGAGGGTGGTACTTAAACAATTCCGTCCGCCGGTCCCACATCCGCGATAGCCTGGTTCCGGTCTCTGAAGGTCCGCATCTGCCGGCAGGCAGTGGCGTTCGTGGCCGCGCGGCGGCGCTGTGACGGGGAAGTAGTCCCGCGTCCTCGATCACCCGGCTCTGGCAGCTGGCGGGACTGCAGCGCAGCGGCTGTCTCGGGCTCAGGCTGTGGAAATGAGGCTTCCACGGACTGTTTAGCGCGCGCGTGGTGTGTGTGTGTGTGTGTGTGTGTGTGTGTGTGTGTGTGTGTGTGTGTGTGTGTGTGTGTGTGTGTGTGTGTGTGTGTGTGTGTGTGTGTGTGTGTGTGTGTGTGTGTGTGTTGTGTGCTGCATGCTGACTCCTCAGATCCCACCTTTGAGACCTTCAGTTACAATCTGGTAAATTTTGAAAGAAATGTTTCAAAGCAGACAAAGTAGCTTGCCTGGAGCTGCACAGGACTCCTTTTCTTTTCCCTTTTGCTCATATTTTTTTCTCATCTGAGTCCCAGGTAAATGTTTCTGTTGTTCTAGATTACAGAACACCACTTTTTAATATGATGATCACTTTAAAAAGCAACCAGGGGTGGGTGGTGGCCTTAATTCCAGCAGAGACAGGTGGATCTCTGTGAGTTCGAAGCCATCGAGGCCTACAGAGCGAGTTCCAGGACAGCCAGGGCAGTGACACAGAGGAAACAATACAAAACAAACCCCAAACATTTATTGGGCATCTTAAGGAATTAGGTACTACTAAAAAGTAAAACAAAGTGCCCATCCTATTTTCACCGAATTGCTTTAAAAACCGTTTTCCTTTATTAAAGACACTTGGGTACAATTGAACTTTTTGAAAGAACAAACTACATTTTCATCAAAGTGCCACCATATACTTGTATTGCTTATAGCTTTACATTCCAAGATCATTTACTAAAGGAAGGACAAACTTTACATTTTTTACAGAATCGTGGGAAGCAAGTGTAAAAGTAGGGAAAGTAACCTATTATTTATTAGCTCTTCTCTCATGTGCACTTTAATTGAATTCATAAACTAGTGGCCAGCTCTGAGCTTCCAACTCTGTTTTGGTTCTGGGAGAAGCTGAAAGAAACAAATAACCTTGCTAGACATTTCTCTTTGACTTTCAGAGGGTGGATCCTTCAATCCCATCTGAGCCAAAAAAGCTTGGAGGAGGTAATGTCTGAACAGGTGCTTTGTGTGTCTGTTTTCTGGGAAAGCAAAACAAGGGATGAGGTTTGCTTCACAGCTCAGTGAGGAGGGGGGACCTACCATTTAACTGATAATTTAACTCAGACTCCAGAGGAAGACGTCAGTGACTCAAAGTTCCACACCAGTCAGGAGGATTCTGGTATTAGAATCTCTGGGATTCTTTGCTTCCCATCGGGCTGGCTTTCTTTCACCCAGAGGTGGGGAGGCAGGAGTTTCATTAATTCTCTGTACCTTCAGTTCCCTTTTGTATCCTAACTTTAATGTTATTGTTTAAATTTTTTATTTATATATGTGGATATGTGTCTTCATAAGTTTATGCCAACACATGTGTGCAGGGCTACCTGTGGAGTCCAGAAGAGGGTGTGTTGGAGCCCTTGGAGCTTAAGTTATGGGCATTTGTGAGCCTCTGGACTTGGGTGCTGGGATCTGGACTCCATCCCTCATGGTAGAGCAGCAAGTGCTCATAACAGTGTCCTGTCTCTCCAGCTCTTAATATGTTATTTTAAACTACCTTTTTTTTTCTTCTGTAGATATGCTAAAATAATCCAAAATGTTTCCATTTGTTGCAAAATGTTGTTCCCCAGCAGGATTGAGCTATTGCTGCCTTAGACTCAGAGCTTCTGATTACCTAGGAGCCCTTCACAAGGTTGGGCTTGTGAGAGAAGGCCTTGGAGAGAAGGGCCACCTCACAAGTGGTCAAGAGACCACCTGGGAGGCCTGAGAAGCCAAGAGGAGGATCTGCTGTGGCTAATCCCTCACCCATACACCTGTAAGTAAACCAGTCAGACCTGGGGAGAAATCTTTAGTCTGTCGTTGGTGCTCTATCTGGAGTAAACAGATCCTTGTTCAAATCTCCCCAGGAAAAGCTAATGCAACGCCTTTAAATCCACTATTTTAGATTAAGCAAGGCTAGACTTGTGAAGTAGACAAGCTTTCATATTTTGGAACAGAAAATTCTCTCCAAAATGCATTGTTTTCGAGACAAGGTCTTGCTATGTAACCCAAGCTAGCCTGAGGCTCACTAATTAGGCGAGGCCAACTGCTGGGTGAGCTTCAGGGAGTCTCCTGTCTATGTTTCCCCAGAGCTAGGATTACAAATGTGCCACCACACCTGGCATTTTTATATGAGTTCTGGGGCTAGAATGTAGGTCATTATGAATGTAGGTTTTTTATTGAGTGATCTCCCCCGTGTGGTTATTATTGTTATTTCATGGCTAGTATGGTCTTGAGCTTATATATATCAGACTGATCTCGAACTTGTGCTTTTCCTTACAGTGGGCTTGCAGGTTTGTGCCACCGTACATGGCTTCAATAATTAAAAAATAAATCTAAAAATAATTTAGAAAAGGAAATCTAAGAGGCAGTCAGTCTCACCCCTGGTCTACTCTGAGCTGCTTTGTGGTAAAACATGAAACTTTCCTGTGCTGTTCAGTTCTCGTTGTTAGGGTGTTTTGTCACAGCAACCAGAAATGAAATTAGGACATTGCCATTTAAAACTGTGGGATTAAGCTGAATGTAATGGGATGCAACTGTAGTTCTAACTACTCAGACAGAACCTCGTGTGGTGGCTCATGACTTTAAACAGCATCTGGGAGACAGAAGCAGGCAGATCTTTATGACTCTGAGGCCAGCCTAGTCTATGTAAGGTAAATAATAGGGTTTACCATAAAGGACACTGAAATACTAATCATACAAGTTGAACATTGTCTTTTAGTTCCAAATCTAAGAGCTGTATAACTTTATTAATGAGTTATAGTTTTTCTCCGTTCCCCAGTGTAACACCCGAAGGCCTCGCCAAGGCCTGGGAGAGTCTGCCCCATTCAGGGTACTTACCTTTCCCCCTCCCAGCCCCTCACTTGTCCCATCTCTACCTCTGTCACTCCTCTCTTACTGTTTTACTTTCTGTGTTTCTCCTCTGCGTGTCCTCCCCCATATGTGTTCATGAATGTGGTTTCAGTGGATGGATATGCATGAATGTGCATGTGGGGGCCAGAAGTGGAAGTCAGATGCCTTCTTCTGTTGCTTACTAACTTATTTTTTTGAGACAGGGTCTCTCAGTGAACCATGAGCTTCCCAATTTGTCTATACATGATGGCTGTTGAACTCCAGGGATCCTCTTTTCTCCCTATTCCCAGTGCTGGGATTATAGGCATGCCCCCTTCCTTGTCTTTTTATGTGGATTCTGGGGATTGAACTCAGATCTTTCTGCTCGTATGGCAAGCACTGAGCCATCCTTCTAGGCATCTCCACCCCAGTTTTTTGAGGCAGGTCTCCTCCATATGTAGTTCAAGTTGTCCCAGGGTAGCTATAAAGTCTTATTTCTTCTGCTGCTGGCTTCTCAGTACTGGAAGCAAAGTTGAATATCACCATACCCAGATAATATTCATCATCTTCTGTGACAAAAACCTGAGAGAAGACAGTAATTTTAACAAAGCATTTGCTTATCTCGATGCCTGATTTACTTATATTAACATATTTATTGTTCTTAGCTTACATGCTTTCTAAAAGCAAACATGATATAACCAAGCATAACCACCCAGCCCCTTTTCAATACATCTTCCTCACATATGTGGTTGTTTTTCTTTTGTTTTTCCTTTTATTTTTCTCATCCCAGTCCCCCTGCTTAGATTTATTTTAAGGTTTCTTTTAGAAGTATCTGTTTATTTCTGTTTTTACTTTTGAGAATTGAAAGCTAACTTTCCCAAGGTCATATTGTGATTCGTTTGCTGATTTGGGATTAGAGTCTTCTAGCTGTGGTGTCCAGGTAGATCATGTGTCATTCTGCATGGTTCACTCTTGATTACAGTGGCTGCATGTGAGGGAGACGTGTTACTTCCATGCTGCTGCTGATCACTGATACCGGTTTTAATTCCTTTTGTGTGATTGCTGTCCAAGTGGTTCACAATTCAGTCCTTACCGGGTACTTAGGAGTAATTATTTCATTTCCTTGATAGGTTTCGGGACTTTGTTTTTTAAAATATCTTGGCTGGCCATTGGTGGCACACGCCTTTAATCCCAGCAGAGGCAGGTGGATCTCTGTGAGTTAAAGGCCAGCCTGATCTACAGAGAGAGTTCCAAGACAGCCAGGGCTACACAGAGAAATCCTGTCTTTAAAAAAAAAAATCCTACAAAAATGTTTTGTTTTTTAATATTAGGTCTCCCATTGTTGCTTAGATTGATTATGATCTTACCTCAGCTTCTAATGTATATGGAACTAAAGGCATGTGCAACATGCCTAGTTCATACAAGTTTTTTTCCCTCTTTTTTATTTAAGGCATGAAGTGTTTCCTAGAATTAGAGCTCTGATATGTGATCTTACTTAGACTGTTGGTTCTGGAGCAGAAATACATATTTTGGGACTGGGAAGACCGCTCAATCAGTAGTCTTGAATACATGAGAATCTGAGTTCCATCTCAAGTTAAAACAAAAACAAACCTGAGTCTAGTGGTTTATGCTTATAATCCAAGTTGTAGGGAGGTAGAGACAAGAAGATTATTGGGGCTAGCTGGCCTGTCCTGTCTGTCTAGGTGAGCTCCAGGCCAGCAAGGGACCCTGTTTCAAAAAAACAAGGTGAGCGTGAAAGTCCTTTGAGAAGCCCACGTTTGAATTCTCGGGTGTCTCATTTTTCTCTCTGAGTGTCTTTTTCTCTCTTAACCCCAGTGCTGAGAGTCTGTGCTGAAATCTCCAACCCTGTTTCAAAACATCAACAAACACAAGGCATATGCTAGAAGAAGCACACACCTAGTGGG